CCTTGACAATCATCACTTAGATAAAATGAAGGGGAAAAAAAACCAAACCAAACCAAAACAAACAAAACAACAAAAAGGACTGGTGGAGATCAACATAAAACACATTCACACATTCACTGTGTTAAAACACTTTTATGAGCTGATACAAGAGATGTCCTTGTCATTTCTTCCAGTCTTTTTTCAAATCCAGTACCTGCTGTATAGCTCGGGGTATGATTCCTCGATGCTTGTAGTCAGCAGTTGCTCCCATCATGGTGTAAGTTTTACCAGCCCCCGTTTGCCCATAGCACATTATCGTGCCTAGAAAAGGTTAAAAAGCAACAGAATAAACTCAGGAGGGAATCTCTGCATCTCTCAAATGGAACAGCAAAAGGATCTCTCCCTCAGATCAAATCTCCACTTATCATCAAAATAATAAAAATAGCAACAAATTACCATTATAGCCAATTAAAGCTTCAGACACCAGTTTCTCAGCCACAGTCTCATAAGCCAGCTCCTGGGAGGTATTGTGAAGGACACCATCGAGCCTAAAGGACCAGGCAGTCTGCCTGTTGTTCACAACTCCTTTCTTGGCATCTTTTTTGATGTATATATCTATGCTCTGAAACCCAAAAAAAAGATGAAGATAACTTGAATAGCCATGAAAAGTTTCAGCAGTTATTGTCTAAAAAATCCCAACACTGAAGGCCTGGAGGTAAGTAGGAAATGGAGCAGAAATAATTCTTTTACTGACCTTGGTGGTATTTTAATAAAAAAGGAAATGGGCTAAGCTCATCTGTTTGCCTTTCAGTGATGTGTCTGATTTTGTGTCCCAGGGAAATTATTAATTAAGCAAGAGAAGGTGAAGGGAGGAACTTCCATAAGGGGGGAATAGAAATAAACTGTACCACAGGGAGAACTCTGAGGCTGGAATCATGGCTACCACTGGGAATTTCTCCGGGATCAGTCAGAGCCCCAGTCCTTTTGAGGATTTTCTCTAGTGACTGCATCACCAGAAGTATGTTTTCCACAGTCACACTTGCTGGTGCAAACCCACAAGCCACTGTCAGTGCAAAGAACAGTATACAAGAAGAAACATGCACCAAAAAGTTCTGCATGGCCTTAAGGAATGGAAGAATTCTGCATTTCTGTGGGTAAAACTGAAATCAAATTCCAAAGCTTTCACACCAGCAATGTCTTTTTCTCTACCTTGTTGTCTGGCCCAAACTTGATCATATCTTGAGCAAAATCAGCTGTTGGCTTGACTCGCACAAATGTACAGACTCTCTTTTCTACTGCATCCATCCTAACTAGAGAGGGGATAAAAGGAAAAATCAACAATATTGCATCCCCTAAAATGAAATGTAACGTTATTTGTCATGAAAAAGCAAGTTACAGAGTAATCGAGCTTAAAAATAAAGTGTTGACAAATGTTCAGCTGCAGTTTCTCTTCTTTATTAAAAGGAACTGTGGGCAAACAGTTGCTGAAAATTCTTTCCAGTATTGTTCTGCTCAGAAAACTGAGCGTGTAAAAAGAGAAGGGTCTTACTGATCATGATTTCCTCTTGTGCATCAGGCATATTAGTGTCTGGCAACACAAGCTTTTCTTCCTACTAGCCTTGCAAAGCAAAATAATTGCAGGGATATGAGAGGGTTTTTTTTTTTCATCTGGTGTTTTCTGTGTGTGAAGGCACAAACAGCCTCCTGTTTTGTAATGTCATTTCATCCAGAACTTTGTTTCAAGCTTCTGAGGCTTTTAGTAAGACATGTTACAGGTGAAACCAAGCTAAAGGAGCACAACAGCACTGCAAAGGGCCATGCAGCAATTACCTCATTTACAGTCTGCACTGAATATGCATTTCTCACATCTTTGAAACCCCTTCTTTACACTTGTACACAAAAAAATTTTTAAGTTCTCCATGAACACCTGATCTTAAAGTTTCCAAGAAAAAAGTCACATGCTAGACAACCCCTGGCGAGATTCTTGTGTTGTTCTTCTGATCAATGCAAATTCAATGTCACTGTCAATATCCAGCAAGGGTAGAGGATCTAAAATCCACCAGAGGAGGGCTCAGGGGATACATCCAGCTGCTAAAGCCCCATCTGAGAATCATACACTGAGTATTTTCAAATCCCTGGATTATGCAAATCCTAGGTTTTCTCTCAGCTGTCTCCTATAGGCAGCTTGTGCTCAATAGTTGAGTAATATCTAGCAACAACTTCTACTTTCAGAATATTGTATCCCTTGTATATTAAGCATTTTTATTCACCTTAGCTACTGTGACTGATCTAACAAGAAATGTAGAGATGTGAGCTGAAGCAAGACTTATGTTTATTTAAAATAGAGGTGAGCATTTGAATGACTACCTGGTAAAGGTACCATGGTTGCTTCGTCCTTTTCCCAGACTACCACAGCAATGCCAACACAATGCCTGCTGTAGAATCCAAAATACTGCTAGGTTACCCTGACCATAATCTCTTCAGTATCAGAGACAGTCTTCAAATAAATGATCTATGGAAAAAAAAAAAAAAAAAGCGATCAAGAAGTGCACAGACATCACCATAATGATTGCCCCTGAGTGACATGCACAGAAAGCTGCCAAAATATTTGCCAGCACTGCAGAAATAAAGGCAGGGGCAGCACAGGTATAAGCAAAATGAAAACAGGTACAGAGTTTTAAAGTTAGTAATCAGCATGGAAATGCTACTAATCTGGTTATCAGGATTGGTAGAGATCACAAAATTCTGCTACTCAAATATAACCCAGCGTTGGAGGAGTATGTGCCTTATTTTTTCAGAGCTGCAGCAAGAAGCACAGCAGGAAAAAGGAGCAAGGGAAAATTTTAGGCAAAAATTCTAATATGAATCAGAGAGAGACAGAAAAAAATTCCAAATGAGTGGAATTTTCCTCACTGCAACAATGGCCATTGTTTGATGTTGGGACAAAATCTGTTCCTCCTGGGAGTATTTACTAACATTAGTAGGCGAGAAGGAAACAGGGAAACACCTCTCTGGCAGGCTTCTAACCAACAACGTGGAGACCAAAAGCTCTCCAGCTCATTAGCAACACCACAAGCATCCAGCCAACCTGATTTTTAATTGGTTCGTTTTGTCTGCAGTGGATTTTTTATAGAGGCACTGCGAAGAATACTACATGTTTATTGGTCAGGTAACAAAAAATGTTTCTGGCTGTTTCACTACTAAATCATCCTCCACAGTTCGAACAATAAATGTTGAAAGGGCAAGAGTGAGACTTGCTGCTACCTTCAGCCATCATTCAGCACTTGTGCTGGAAACCAAGCAAGCAAAGCAAATCACAATTCACAGCTAGGGCTGTGATTGGCTTTGAAGCTTTTTATGACAAGGTGACAAACCCAACTTCCTTGGTCCCTCCTTACAGAGCAGCTGAAGTCAGCAGGACTCCCCCATTAGTTAGTCTCAAGACTAACTGACTATTTATGCTTGGAATTAATGGAAACACAGTCATTTCTGCAATGGAGGCAGATGTCAATGTGCCCCCACAAAGATTAGTGCCAAAGGGAAATTTCAGATGGGGATTTTGGGGCTGACTGGCACAGAAATGTGTTCCCAGAGCAGTGAAGTGGGGTTTTTAGTTCTGCCTGAGAGACCCAAGCTTATCCACCATGGACAGACAAAAGCTTGGGCCAAATCATAGAATCATAGAATAGAATAATGGAATAATTTGGGTTGGGAAGGACCTTAAAGATCATCCAGTCCCACCCCCCTGCCACGGGCAGGGACACCTTCCACTAGCCCAGGTTGCCCAAAGCCCCGTCCAACCTGGCCTTGAACCCTTCCAGGGAGGGGGCAGCCACAGCTGCTCTGGGCAACCTGTGCCAGGGCCTCAGCACCCTCACAGGGAATAATTTCTTCCTTCTATCTAGACTGAATCGACCCTTTTTCAGTTTAAAACCATTCCCCCTTGTCCTAAACACAAGAGGCAAACTGGGGAGGCAAAGCTGCTTTGTGGGGCTGACCGCAAGGCAGCCCCTAGAATTCAAACTCCAGTGATCCTTCGAGAGTTGAATCCACCCAGTTAGACACAAAAAGCCCAGTTCTACCCCAGTACCCCAGGCCATCTGCTCACCCAGGGCCACCTCTGCCCCAAGGAGAATGGTGGAGAAACAGCCCCAAATTACCTTCTGCCTTTCCAACTCAGCACAAACCAACCAAAGAGTGTGGGATGCAAGGCAGCTGGTGACACCGATGCACTGATAATGGGGCACTAGGAGAGATGACAGAAGAGGTGGGACAACGGTATGAGGATGGGTGGGATAATTAGGAACACACAGCCAAGCCCACAGTCCTACTTGCTGGGGCCAAGAGCAAAGGAGGGTGGCCTCAGAGGGGGCTGGGGGGCACAGGGGCTGTAGAGACAGGGAAAGGATCATCCATGATTGAGAAGACCTGGGGAGGGGCGAGGTGGTGGGGAGACAAGATCTTGCGAGGTGGTGAGAAGGAGAGCGAGGCCTATGGAGACATCACCTGAGGAAGGGGGAACAAAGCCCCGAGGGGGACGAGGCCTTGAGGAGGAGAAACAAAGCCTGGAGGCAGGGTAACACAAAATGTGGAGGAGCAAGATGAAATCTGGAGGTGGGGGGAAAAGCCTGGAAGAAGGGGGATGAGGCCTGGAGTGGGGGGATGAGGCCTGGAGGAGCAAGATGAAGCCTGGAAGAAGGGGGTCGAGGCCTTGAGGAGAGGGGACGAGGTGTGGGGGAGTCTAGGCCGGGAGAAGGGGAAGGCCTGGAGAGGCGGCGGGGACCAGGCCTGGAGAGGCTGATACGGCCTGTAGGAACAACGCTGCCGGGGGAGGCAGGTGACAACAAGCCCCTGAGGAGGGGGAGACTCCCGGGGGCAGCCCCCGGCCCTCACCTACCTGCGCCCCCGCCTCCGCCAGGCCCGGCCGAGGGGCAGCCGCGGCGAAACTGTGGACGCCGTTGCCATGGCACCCTCCACTTCCGGCCTCTCCCGGAAGTGGAGGAAGGCGGAAGTGGGAGGGGTGGAGGCCGCGCTACGGCGGCCGGGTGGGGACACGGCGCGGGGGAGGCGAAGCGAGGCGGGGAGCGGCGGGAGCGGTTGGGAAGATGCTGGAGACGGCGGCGGTGGCGGCCGAGCCGGAGCTGGACCCCGAGGACTTGGTGCATTTTTCGGTGGGCGATTTGCCCAGCCGCGGTTACGGCGTGATGGGCGAGATCCGGCGGCAGGGCAAGCTCTGCGACGTGACCCTCAAGGTGCGGCCCGCCCCTGAGGGGGAGCGGGGGGGATCTCCCCAGTCCTTTTGCCGCCGTCTCCTCGGGCCCCTTGGGTGGGAGTCAAGACGGGGAGCTGAGGGCCCCTTTGGTGGAGGGAGAGGAGTGAGCTGAGGGCCCCTTTGGTGGGGAGTAAGGGAGGGTGAGGGTTCCCCCCGACCCCTTTGGTGGGGACCAGGAGGAGCTGAGGGTCCCCCTTTGGGCTTTTGGCAGCGGAGAAGAATGGTGCTGAGACACATACCTCACCCCCCTGGGTTGGGGTATCAGGGGATGTTGAGCCTCCCCTTCGGGGAGGGGGCTCTGTGAAGGCCCCTTGGGATTCGGGGGGGGGGG